TGATAGCAGCTAAAACTGGCTCGGCAGATCTGGTTAACCTGTCAGGTTTCCTCTTCTTTTCTCCTCAACTCATTTGTGTTCTTCACCCAAGAAGAAACCTATCCAAGCAACCTGGGCATTTTCCCATCAAAGCCACCCCAATCATCATTCTTTCCACTGGGAACTGCAAACCACTCATGTCAATGGAGTTCCAAGAACGTAATAGTTTTCAATGGTAACACCTCCAATGCTTTCTAAAATAAAGCCCCCAGTGAAATCAGGAATGATCTTGACTTCCTAAAACTGTGGTCAAGGTCTTTGCTCAGAGGCTGGAGAACCGTCGCTCATGCTCCAAGAATTTCCTCTGACCCCCATCTCTACCACATCGTTCGATGGTGGTTTGTTTTACTTCTGAGGTTTCTGGCTTCCTAGCACTCTGGGGTCTCATTTGGTGATACCAACCAAAACCTAATACGGTTTTTATTGTTATGTTTCTTCCTGATGTGTACCGTTGGTTAGATCAAAGATGAGAAGATTAAAAAGGACAAAGAGCCCAGAGAAGAAGTGAAGAGCTTCCTGGATGGAAAGAAGGGGTTTACAGAAGTGAAGTCGCAGAATGGAGAATTCATGACCCACAAGCTTAAACACACCGAGAATACCTTCAGGTAAGACGTAGTGGCTCACAGTAACTGTGTTCACATGTGAAAAACAAATCAGCCTCCTATCCTGTGCCTCTGGACAGAAAGTGCTGAACAGGCAACATGCTTTTGTTGTGAGGTCATTGGCCATTGTCTCAGGGATACTCAGTCAGCAGGCCGGGCTATCAATCACTAACAGAAGACCACGGTCATTGCTCAGGCAAAGTGTAATCCACCTTTCCCATAATTTAGCAATGTAGGTTAGGCCTGGCATCCAAGCTTTGGTCCCTGACCTGATATGCTCATGGAAGATCAGTGTAGTAGAACACAGTATGCCTGGAATTCATATCTTTGACTCATTCTCTATATGGTCCAGGCGACTTCCTAAGAGACCTTCTCAATACCATTTTCAAAATTGTATTTTCTAAAGGTTGTGGATAAATACTGCATTCAACTAGGATTGTTCTATGGCCAAATATTTGGGAAACATCCGGTTAAACTGAGTCAATCATTTCTCTTTGCCATAGGACTTGGAAAGCACTTGGTGTTAGTTTGTATTGGGAACCTCTGAGAGGGAAGAAGAAGGCATCCGACTCATACTCCAGTTAGAACCCCTCTTGCATAGCTTCAGCTTCTCCTCCTCATCCCATTATGTTGAAAATCTGGGCAACTGATTTTAGGACAAGTAAATGAACACTTAGAGTTCCCAACCAATTTTGTAGAAGGACTCAAGTTGCAGATGCCCACTACGGACAATTCTCTGGGCCCCATTCCTACCTCTGGGCCCCATTCCTGCTGTGCCCCATGTTCTGGAAGAGTCTGGGTCCCTATGACGTGGATTTCCACGCAGCCTTGCCTGTAGACCCTGTGTTTCTGAACACTTCAAATAAGAAAGTCTCAAGCAGGTATTGTGTAGGAGTCAGACATGGGCCTCACAATGAAGGCTTTGTCACATACAGAAGCAAGCACAGCTACTGGGGAGGGATGTTTCCAGCCCCTCTAAGAAGCTGAGATGGGTCAACATCATTGCCCCCAAACAATTTTTCTACACAAAACTTTGAGCAGAAACCGCATCACATTTAACCAATAGAAAGCCTAAATTGACAGGAAAGTAGATATGAAAACTTAAGAGTTTATCAGGGATTTATGGAAAATCTAGAAAGCAAGTTGATTCGGGCAGGTAAGCCGAGCCCAGAGCTTGCTAAGTGTCAGCAGGTTAATGTTTTAAAGACCTAGAACAGCGTCAAGTTCATGAGACGTGTTCAATGAACATTACCTAACAGTGTTAGTGTTTTGTTGTTTGATAGTTTAAAACCTGTTTTGTGGGTATGAATACATTTTTCGTGAAGAGAAATAATGCTTTAAAAAAATCTGTCAGTAGAAAGTTTGGTTAACAATTAGCAAGCTTGCCAACCAGCGTTAGCCAGATTCAAATTAATAATTAACATGTCCGTTGTGTGGAAATCCAGGGAGTTGGGTAATTCCACCAAGAGAAAAGTCAGCAGGGATGCCAACAGGTTGCACACTGAGGACTCTGAAATGTGACTCTTTGATTTTCATCTTTGGGCAGACAAAAATGATAGAAACATAAAGTTTTGGTTTAGCTGCCAACGTGTGTTAGTTTTAGTTTCAATAGAAATCGGTGATGATAGAAGCGGAAATGCCTGGTTTTGCTCCATGAAGTGAGGAGCTGGGGAGGAAGGGCCTCTATTTAGATTGGCAGAGTGTCTACCAGCCTAACTGAAAACAAGCTGTGTGTTTTTTGAAAATGTATTTATTTTTTTTAAATATATTTTATTGATTTTTTACAGAGAGGAAGGGAGAGAGATAGAGAGTTAGAAACATCGATGAGAGAGAAACATCCATCAGCTGCCTCCTGCACACCCCCCACTGGGAATGCACCCGCAACCAAGGTACATGCCCTTGACTGGAATCGAACCCGGGACCCTTCAGTCCTCAGGCCGATGCTCTATCCACTGAGCCAAACCGGTTAGGGCTGTTTATTTATTTTTGTTAATCCTCACCCGAGGATATTTTTTCCATTGATTTTTAGAAAAAGTGGAGGGGAGGGAGGGGGGAAAGAGAGAGAGAAACATCTATGTGGTTGCCTCCGGCAGGCTGGGGAGCAAACCTGCAACCCAGGTACGGGCCCTTGACCGGGAATCAAACTTACAACCCTTTCAGTGTGCAGTTCGAGGCTCTACCACTGAGCCACACCGGCCAGGACACAGCTGTGTTTTTATTGGTGAAAGGTCTGATGTTCTTCTTGACTTAAAACCCAGTGAAGCCAAGGATAGCGGAGAGAGCCTTCTAGAAGAAATTTTCATATTACTCATGACACCCTAATGCTGAGGGCATGCCAGCACATGTGAGCAGAGGTAATATGGACAAAACTCTTGTTCCTGTTTTGAGCATAATTCCTGTGTTTGATTTAATTACTATCCCCTTTGATATTTCTGTTTTCTTATAACTGGATCATTTTCTCTAAGAGATAACATAAAAATCTCAATTCAAGGAACAAGTTTATAGAGCTAGATTATACCAAGGTTTTATAGATAGTACAGAACAAGAGTTTGTTTTGCTTTCTTTTTATTTTTTATGTGGGAATTAAAGTTTTTTTCTGATTATCAGAAAAATTGAACTCATTATAAAACATTCAGAAAATAGAAGTACAAAAATAAGTACCCACCACCCAAAGATAACATTAGTAACATTTTTGCAGATATTTTTTATGTATATACATTCAAAATAGACACTCATATGTAGGCAACATGTATATGTGAGTGTAATTATAAATCTACATTTTAAATTGATTCTTGCATTAGCATAGCAATGCACCTTAGCTAGCCTTCTATACCAACAAACATAAGTCTACAGCGAATGATGTTAGCCTGTTCCACTGGATGGAAGTATGGTGATTTATTTAACCAGTCCCTAATGGTGGCATTCTGAATGTCCAAAATGAAGACTGAGCGACATCTAGTGGAATCTAGAGAAGTTTATACAAGGCATGTGTTATGCTCGTCCAATTGAGCACTAACATAATGAACACAACAGAGCAAATGTCTCTGAAGATGGAAAGACCTTAGATTAACTGAGAGAGCAGATTTCCTCTCTGAAGTCACAAGCCTATAAACCTAGAAGACCTGAAAGAGCAACATCAAGTTTTAAGGGGCCGTCTAACTTTGATTGAGTCCAAATAAAAGAATTCACTTTTTTTTTAACCATCAAGTGCCTAGAATAAGATTATTTTTATTATTGAATTTTAGAGAGAGAGAGGAAGGGAGAGGGAAGAGAGGGAGAAACATCGATGTAAGAGTGAAACATTGATTGGCTGCCTCCTGCACATTCCCCACTAGGGACTGAGTCAGCAACTGGCATGTGCCCTGACCAGGTATCAAACCAGAGACCTTTCCATACATGGGACGATGCCCAACCAACTGAGCCACACCAGCCAGGGCTAGAATATGATTTTTAAACATTTTAACCTCAGCTCTTAGTAAGAAATAAATTTTACATCATGACCCAGTCAGTGATGTCTACATGCATCACTGGAACCAGCATGTCAAGAAACGGTCATTTCCTTTGCCCTCGGCAGTGCTCGCTGATGTTTCCTAGTTCATTTTTTGTAAATGCTGATTACAGTCCACTGATTTGATTTTCTGACCTGCAGCTTGAAAAGCGTCATTCTAAAGGGCACAGTATATTCAGAACCTCAGTGTTTTAAAAGCATGTGATGTACACATAAGATCAATATTAGTAATTGTGTCATCTTGAACTATTTTCTGTTTTATTCTTTCTCTTGCTCCATAGCTAGAAACACTGTGCCATTCTCCACATGGAATAAATGGTGCTAGACAGTGGTAATTCATCTGTTACTCCGACAAAAGTGTTGGACACGGGCTACCTATGTTCAGATCTAGTTAAGAATGCCCTCACTACTTGTTCATGAGTATTTAAATAAGATTTTTTATGGCTAAATAATATTCCACTGTAAATATGTACCACTTTTTTTTTACCCATTCATCCATCAGTGAACACTTAGGTTGTTTCCATATCTTAGCTGTTGTAAATAATGCTGCAGTGGACATGGGGGTGCAGATATTGTTTGGAATCAGTGTTTTCCTTAATTGTGGGATCATATGGGAGTTCTGTTTTTAATGTTTTGAGGAGCCTCCCTACTTTTTTTCATAGTGGTTGCACCACTTCACAATCCCACTTGCCCCCATTGTATAGCTGAGAAAACCCAGGGTAAGTGGCGGAGCAGGGACTCAGATTCAGACCTGGAGATGCCAGCTGGGCCCCAGCCTACCCCCTGGGTCGGTGTGAGGATCTCCTGCCCAATGACGGACAGTGGAGATTTCTGTGTGGGAGGCCAAGCCTGCAGGCCCACATCCCCTCCCTCCAGGAAAGGCTGCAGGCGGACATGTGTCAAACCCCTTTGCATCCCTTTCTCTCCCCCCACCAGCCGCTCTGGAGGGAGGGCCAGCGAGGCCAAGGAGGCGGAAGGGGCTCCCCAAGTGGAGGCTGGCAAGCGCCTGGAAGAGCTGCGCCGCCGTCGTGGGGAAACTGAGAGCGAAGAGTTCGAGAAGCTCAAACAGAAGCAACAAGAGGCAGCCCTGGAGCTGGAGGAGCTGAAGAAAAAGAGGGAGGAGCGAAGGAAGGTCCTGGAGGAGGAAGAGCAGAGGAGGAAGCAGGAGGAAGCAGAGCGAAAAGTCAGAGAGGAGGTAAGGAGAGCGCAGCCCGCCCAGCCATCGGCACCCCAACTCACTCCAGCCCCTGAATGCCTATCTCTGGTGACCCTTCTGGCCCAGAGGACAATTTCTTCCCTGGTGAAATGAAATGCTGCTGCTCTTTCGATCATGGACTCTACGAATACATTTTAAGGATAGTAAACTTAACTGTGTGCTAAGCATGGTCCCAAAACCTTTATACATATTAATTTATCCAATTCTCACCAGAACAGGTAGTCTTGTCCCCATTTTACAGATGAGTAAAGTGAGGCACAGAGACATGTTTTTCTGTTTGTTCGTTTTGTAATTTTCCCAAGGCCCCACTTGTCTTACTCCATTACCCTATACTGTCCCTCCATAAAGAACTGTAGAGAGCAGAGAAGGATGGAAAAGGGTCTGCAGATTAGTTACAAGAATCAAGAGTCACATGATGGTTGTTTTTTTGGACATTTGAAGAATTTTTATAGAGAAGTTTTTAAAAATAGGTTTTGGGATTTTTTAGTGGAAGAGTCTAGATATTCACAGTCAGGGGACAGTATGTGCTCTGTTCATCGCTGTATACCCAGGACACAAACACAGTGCCAGGCATGTAGCAGGAACCCAGTAATTATGAGCCCATGAATTTGTTCCATATTTTAAGACAGAATTGAAAACAACAAATAGTTACCAAAAGGCTATTTTGAAAACTGAAAAAGTGCTTAACCACCTACAACTTACATTGCTATTTTTTACAAGGTGCCCATTTTTCTTTCATCCTGAGGTACATTATTATTCTCATTTTATGAGCAAAGAAATGGAAATCCAATCGTTTTGTTATCAGTGGGGTGCTCTCTGTGTCCCCACTGGCTGCCAAAGGAAGTGGGCTTCTTGGGGTGCAGCTGGAATAAGAATTTCCGGAGGCCCCCTGGGAGGATGAGGTATCGTGGAAAGTTTTATTTCTGTGGAATTAAACCCCTGAGTTTCCAAGGTCCCATCTCCCTCCATCCGCCAAGGGAAGAGCCCTGTTTCGTCCTCAGCAGAGCGAGGATTAAGGCCAGTGACCAGAGTTTCCGTTCCGTTTGCACAGTCCAGGCCAGCATCAGGCTAGCTCAGCTTGTGTTCCCAGCTGCAGTCCATTGCATGTGCGGTTCACATGTTTGTGGGCCAGGCATGTGGCTTCTAGGGCCACATAAATATGGAGGGAACATGGGTGAGTGCAAGAAGCAGGAGCAAAGCAAGAGAAACAAGAAAGAGAGAATCCCTTTGTCTCAGGGTTTTAACCTAAAATTTCGCACTGAAAGTGGCTCCAGCCCTCCAGCCAGTTATCTTTGTTTCCAGGTTAAACTGCCAGACAGCACCTTCCCTACTCACCCCGACTTTACTGCACATGCATCCTCCTTCTCCTTTGTCCCCCAGTGATTTGCAGGGAATAGACCGGTGGTTCACTGTGGAGCATGAAGTTGCAGCTTCCTGGTGAAGCTGCCCAGATGACCATGCTTATCATGCCTGGCCTCCCCTTGGCTCCTTTCCTATTATTAATATTAATAATTAGCTAATTGCAGTGAAAATGGTTTGAGTGGCTTGTGTGAAGTTACTTGACTAATACATGGTCGGATCAGTATTGGGACCCAGCTTCTGCACATTAGCCTGTGTCGAGTAACACTCCCTCCACGTTCTGCGTGGAGTAGGGTTCGGTATCTGAAAGAGGAGCCGCACAACAAATGAGAGAGAAATGACATGAGATAATTTTGCAATATTGGAGGACCAGGCGGGCAAGTCCCAAAGGACTTCCACCCATGCTCAGGCTGCTCCAATCTTTTATTGATCTGGAGTAGCCCTTAGGGTAAGGAGGTTTCAATGACACACAGATCAGCAGACAATTTCCAGGAATAGACAAAGTATCTGATTAGTTCATCAGTAGATGATTTCCAGGAATAGGCAGAGTATCTGATCAACAAGGATCTACATAAGTATCTAAGGAATTAAGTGAACTAAGGTGGGGATGATGCTTCAACTATTATTACCTAAATTAACTGGGTGGTTCCTAGATTAACTGGGTGGTGCACAGTTCTGACCTTTGCTAGGACTTCAAAGGTTACTAGCTTTTGGGGGTCTCTGTCTAAACTCAGCTAGTGAAGACAATGAATGGACTCCGGCAGCCTGGAACTCTTCTCACTAATCTTAGGAAACACTGATCTCCCATCATCCAAAAGATGCAGAAAGACTTTGTTTCTTTCTGACTTGGGTCCTATGTAAACATTCCCTAAACTGTGTGGAAAGTTTGGATAAATGGTTCCAAAATCTCTTCCAAGTCCAGCTGTCCATGCGCCAATGATCTCTGGTTGGGAAGTAATGGGGATGAAAGAGCGTTAGAACCAAACATACCTGGGCTCGTATCCTGACAGCCTTGCAAGCTGGGACCTTGGGAGAGTTACTGGACGACTCTAAGCCTTCTCTTCCTTATCTGTGAAACACCTACTTTCAGGATCGTTGTGAATGACTAAATAGGTCATTGTATTCACAGCGCCTGGTACCTCATAGGCCCTGAGGAAGTGGCAGTTATAATCATTGTTATCATTGTTATTATTAGTTAGAGGAGATTACCAGTGAAGGCAGAATGAATTCTTAGGATTGGATTGAGTTGGAGATTATTTTTTCTCACCTCCTGTCAATAAAACGTAGACTGCATGGCTTAAAAGCAACAGAAATTATTTCTCACAATTCTGGAGGCTGAGAAGTCCAAGAACAAGGCCTGCAGATTCTGTGCCTGGTGAGGGGAAGCCTCTGGTCATAGACGGCCATTATCTCGCTGTGTCCTTACGTGGTGGAAGGAGCCAGGGAGCTCTCTGGGGTCTTTTTTAAGGGACTAACCCAGCCGTGGGCAAACTACGGCCCGCGGGCCGGATGTTTGAAATGAATAAAACTAAAAAAAAAAAAGACCGTACCCTTTTATGTAATGATGTTTACTTTGAATTTATATTAATTCACACAAACACTCCATCCATGCTTTTGTTCCGGCCCTCCGGTCCAGTTTAAGAACCCATTGTGGCCCTCGAGTCAAAAAGTTTGCCCACCCCTGGACTAACCCCACTCATGAGAGCTTCACCTGCAAGACCTAATCACCTGTTAATGCTGTCACACTGGGGGTTAGGTTTTCAACCTATGAATTTTGGGGAGACACAAACATATAGTCTATAACACACAGGATCCTTCTGCAACATCCTCTGACAGGTGGACATAAATTCTCTTCTTGAGAACATCCAGTGAAACAGATCTCACAACAATTTGAAAATTATAAAAGACAACCTAAATCTCTCAAAACCGTTCACAGAGGATGTGTGACTTAATCAGAGATCTGGAGTTTTTGCCTGAGAGAGAAGCAGGGGACACTATTTTAGGCCAGGAATGAAGGCACAGAGGGGTAATGAGACAGGTTGTGAAAATCTGTGATTTCACCACTATGGTGCAATACCTACCTCATTTCAGGTTTGTCAAACCATCTAAAATAATCTACTCTGTTGAGGTGGGCACAACCATAAAATCATCTCTTGTACAATTTGACAAATGTGGTTCCATAGATTTATATAACTTTGCACATAAGTTGTCTCACTTGTCTTCACACTCTCCTAGGAACTAGGAAGATGAGATATTTATATGAATTTCACATAATTCAGAAGTGAAAGGTCAATGTTAAATGACTTGACAGGATGAGGATAATGGTGATCACCATACTGAGCACTAGCCTAAGCATTTTACATGGGCTCATTAAAGCCCTGTTCAGGGGGCTCTATTATTATCCCCATTTTACAGATGAAGAGACTGAGGCACAGAGCAGATAAGTAATGTGGTCAAGGTCGCAGTTGGGAAGTGGCAGCATCAGGTTTAACCTCTAGTGACCATCCTTGAGGACCCAGTGCATTCACTCTAGAACCTGGGTCTTTTTTCTCTGGGACTTGTGCCCTTTCTTCTACAGCACCCATTCCCCTGGGCTTGAACCTGATGTTGATGTCTTTGTTACTTGCTCTTTCCCTCTTAAGGAAGAGAAGAGGCGGCTAAAGGAGGAGATTGAAAGGCGAAGGGCAGAAGCTGCTGAGAAACGGCAGAAGATGCCAGAAGATGGCTTAGCCGAGGACAAGAAACCTTTCAAATGTTTCACTCCCAAAGGTTCATCTCTCAAGGTATTTTTCCCCCAGAAAATCCTCCTTTTAATACCGCTACTATAGTATCTTAGAAACTTGATTTTAGCCTTTAAGTTATTGATTATCCCAAGCCTTTGCTCCATTCATCTTTTTGCTCCTTCGTTCAGCTATTTCACAGCTTTTCTTTGTTTTCAACATATGCAAAAGAGAGAAATAAAGTGGGGAAATGTATATCTGTTGTTTATTAGATGCTTTGGTACACATTAAAAAGGCCATCAGCGATTATCTCTGGATCTCACTGACCCATGCTCCCCAGCTGCCTCGTTGCTTTGAGCAGTTGGAAAGGGAAACATTTATAAAATGGCAAATACATTGTAAAGGTTATGCTGTTTTTCACACTCGCCAATCATCTTTTCTTTGTCATTATTAAAGCAGGGCAGCTGGAAATGGTACCGTTCAAATTTGAAAGCTATTATAGGGGAGGAGACGAAATGCGACTTGGAAGGGTCCTTTGCCAGGATGAGTTTGGTCCTACTACTGCCTTCAGGGAGCATAGCTCCTAATCGATGTCAGACAGAAGTGCTGACAGACGAGAACAAGCGGGAAAAACTGACTTAAGGGAATAATGGGTTGAGATGGGAAAAGAGCACAGACTCAAGAAAGTACTATGATCTACATTCAATCTGCCATTACTTTTAAATATATTTTCTGTTCATGAGAGTTAACATGCATTGAGCTCCTGGCACAGTTAATATACTCAACTAGAGGCCCAGTGCACAAATTTGTGCACGGGTGGGGTCCCTTGTTCTGGCAGGCAATTGGGGCCAATCGGGGCTACTCACCCCAGTTGGGAGGGGGGGCCGGCGGGGGCGTGGGAGGTTGGCCAGCCATGGGAGGTGGCTGTGGAAGCGCACTGACCACCAGGGGGCAGCTCCTACATTGAGCATCTGCCCCCTGGTGGTTAGTGTGCAGCATAGCGACCAGTCAACCAGTCATTTGGTCGACCGGGCGTAATGGTTGCTTAGGCTTTTTTTTTTTTTTTGAGGAAGAATGTGCTTTTTATTTTATTTTATTTTTTTATTGCTTAAAGTATTACAAAGGGTATTACATATGTGTCCTTTTTTTTCTTCCCCGCCCTTGACAATCCCCTGGCCTCCCCTACCCCCCAGTGTCTTATGTCCATTGGTTATGCTTATATGCATGCATACAAGTCCTTCGGTTGATCTCTTACCCCCCTCCCTCCTGCCCCCCAACCCTCCCCGGCCTTCCCACTGCAGTTTGACAATCTGTTTGAGGCAGTTCTGCCTCTGTATCTATTATTGTTCAGAAGTTTATAATGGTCTCTATTATCCATGAATGAGTGAGATCATGTGGTATTTTTCCTTCATTGACTGGCTTATTTCACTTAGCATAATGCTCTCCAGTTGCTTAGGCTTTTATATATATACTAGAGGCCCGGTGCACAAAAATTTGTGCACTGGGGGGGGGGGGGGGAGAGGGGGGCCCCTCAGCCTGGCCTGTGCCTTCTTGCAGTCTGGGACCCCTCAGGAAATAACGACCTGCTGGCTTAAGCGTGCTCCTGGGTGGCAGAAGGCAGGCCCAATCCCTAGGTGCAGCCCCTGGTCGGGCTCAAAACAGGGCTGATTGGGGAGTTGGGGCGCCGCCCCCTGTCATGCACAGAGCAGGGCGGATCGGGAGGTTGCGATGCCACCCTCAGTCACGCTCAGGGTAGGGCTGATTGGGGGGTTGGGGCACCACCCCCTGTCACACTCAAGGCAGGGTCGATGGGGAGGTTGCAGCGCCACCCCCTGTCAGGCACAGAGCAGGGACAATCAGGGGGTTGGGGCGCTGCATCCTGTCACACACAGAGCAGGGCCCATCAGGGGGCTGGGGAGCTCCCCCCTGTCATGCACAGAGCAGGGCCGATCAGGGGGTTGAGGAGCTCCCCCCTGTCACGCACAGAGCAAGGCCCATCAGGGGGTTGGGGAGCTCCCCCCTGTCACGCACAGAGTAGGGCTGATAGGGGAGTTAGGGCACCACCCCCTGTCACACACAGAGCAGGGCAGATCAGGGGGTTGGTGTGCCGCCCTCTATCACCCACAGAGCAGGGCCGATCAGGGGGTTGGGCGCCGCCACTGTCACACTCAGGGCAGGGCTGATGGGGAGGTTATGGCTCTACCCCGTCACACACAGAGCAGGGCCCATCAGGGGGTTGGGGTGCCTTCCCCTGTCACGAACAGAGCAGGGCGGATAGGGAGGTTGTGGCCCCGCCCCCTGTCACACACAGAGCTGCAGGGCGATCAGGGGGTTTGGGCGCTGCCCCCTGTCATGCTGATCCCGGTGCTGGGAGGCATATTACCCTTTTACTATATAGGATAGAGGCCTGGGGGCCGGCTGGTTTGCCCTGAAGGGTGTCCTGGATCAGGGTGGGGGTCCCCACTGGGGTGCCTGGCCAGCCTGGATGAGGGGATGATGGCTGTTTGCAGCTGGTCACACACCCTTCAGGGTGGGGGTCCCCACTGGGGTGCCTGGCCAGTCTGGGTGAGGGGCTGAGGGCTGCTTTCAGGCTGGCGGTTGTTGATTGAAGCTCCCAACCACTCCTTTTTTTTCTCTTTTTTTTATTTTATTCTGGGCCAGCTTTAGCTCTGGCTCTAGCTCTGAGGCTTCGTATCTGGTTTGTTTGCCGTTCTATAATTGAAACAATGTATAACTTCAGCTCTGAGATCCCGGCAGGCTGAAAGCTGATTTCTGGGGTTTTGTTTAGCTTCATATTTGCAACATAGTACATAGTTGCTTAGAGTTGCAACTCAGAGGCCGGCAAGTCAGGCGGGGAACGTTGGAGTCTGCAGTCCCTGGAGCAAGCAAGCCTCATGTTCGCTTCCAGCTGCCTGGCTGCCGGCCGCCATCTTGGCTGACAGTTAATTTGCATAAGGATATGCTGATTAGCCAATGGGAAGGGTAGCGGTCATACGCTAATTACCATGTTTCTCTTTTATTAGTGTAGATAGAAGATAAGTATGTGGATATATGAATGAATGGATATATGAATGAATGACTCCAGAGATAGGAACTTTTAACCTTTTTGTTTCACCTTCATTTTCCATCAACCTTTTTAGGTTACATAGCTTTGACAATGGGCAAAGCCAGTACAGAATCACAGCAAGGCTCCAGACGGTCAAAGTGTATGTGTGTGTATGTGTGTGTGTCTATAAATGTGTGTGAGGTTTTATCACTTGGCACACAAAAACAACCAAAAAACAGTTACATTGTACAGTTATTACCTGTTTCACATGAAAATCAGCATGTTTTATCCCTAAATAACCTCACTTACTCTTCATGTACTTTTGGGCCCCTTCATAGTTCTGATACATCTCAAAGAAACTACTTATGGGCAAGGTCTTTGTGAGGGGGAATCCAAACTAAGCCACCAGGGAATGTTATTATTTAATACAGACTACCACAGAAGTGAGATCTCAGAGCTGACAGAATGAGGAGCGGGCGGCTTTGTAGAGTAAGTGAGCTTCATTTATGGACGCCAAAATTTGAATTTCACAGAATTTTTTTGTGTCACAAAATATTACCCTTCTTTTGATTTTTTTCAACCATTTGACCAATATAAAACATTCTTAGTTTGAGAGCTATGTGAAAAGCAAGGCCTGCAAGTCAAAACCGCACTCGGTTCAGGCTACCTTTGTGCAGCCACTGGTGTCCTTTCTGCTCCTGATCCAGGCCCTTTTGTTCCTGGCTCATCAATATTGAAAGAAAACCACATTTTTAAAAAAATAGATTTTTATTGATTTCAGAGGGAAGGGAGAGGGAGAGAGATACAGAACATCAATGATGAGAGAGAATCATTGATTGGCTCCCTCCTGCACACCCCTACTGGGCATTGAGCCCACAACCTGGGCATGTGCCCTTGATGAGAATCAAACCTGGGACCCTTCAGTTTGCAGGCCAACGCTCTATCCACTGAGGCATAATAGCTAGGGCCACATTTTCTCTTTCTATCTCCCTCTAAATCCCACCCAAGCTGAACGTTCCTTGGACAGTCTTGGTAACACGAGGAAAATGGTAGTGACCTAGACCTCTCATTTCTACTCTCTTTGTTCAGGAGAAACTACAATCCACCTCCTCCTTCAAATATCTCCTCTCAACCAGGTTTTTCAACTTACTTCTCTAGTCTTTCCATCAACCAGACTCCTGGGCCCCCAGGGGGCCATTTAGGTACTTCCTCTAGAAGAGAGGCATGTGTGAGCAGTCAAAGTAGATGCATTTGCAAAAGCAAAACATTTTAAACTTCTATACAACAGAGACATGCTTTCAGAAACGGACAATTTCTTGCACCATAGTGTGTGCTTTGAAGAGCTTGTGTGGCTCTGCTTTTGTTATGGGTGGGTGTCCTCTAATTTCCTAACCTGTTGCTGGTAGAAGTGGGCTTCTTGGGATGCCACAGGAATAAGAATTTCCTGAGGCCCCCACGGGAGGATGAGGTATTATGGAACGCTTTAATGATGAGGTAACATTAAGGGAGTTCACCTTCAGGATCCCATCTCCCTAAGTCCCACCATGAAAAAGTCCCATTTTGTCTTCAGCAGAGCTAGGATTAACGCCACTGCCCAGAGCCTCTGCTCCGTGTTGAAGCCCAGTCCAGTCCAGCATCTGGCTAGCCTAGCTTGTGTTCTAGCTGCAGTCCATTGCAGATGGGGTCCGCGTGGCCATGAGCCATGCGACTGCTTCAGGCCACATGGCAGGCTAGCGCAGATCATGGGAAAAACAAGTGTCAGGAAGCAAGAGCGAAGCAAGTGGAACAAGAGAGAGAGTATTTCTGTTTGGGGATTTTAACCACGGCCTTATCCAATCAATTCTTCCTGATTTCGTACACTTACAGTGGCTCCACCCCCTCTAGCCAATTATCTTTGTTTCCAGGTTAGACTGACAGGCAAACTTCTTCCCTATGTCACACCCCTCTCCCCTCCAGACTTCACTGCGCATGCATCCATCTTCCCCTTTGTTCGATCCCTTTCCGAAGTGAACTGCAGGGAATGGACCAATGGTTCCCTGGGGAGTGTAAAGTTGCAGCTTCCTGGTGAAGCCACCCAGATAACCATGCTTATAATGTCTGGCCTTCCCTTTGCTCTTTTCCCGTTTTAATATTGATTACTAGCTAATTACAACAGTAACAGTTTCATATCCTACAATTGAATTTTTGCAATTGTTGATACTCTTGGCCCTGCAACTTTTATAACTGCTCACAAGTTAACATTCTAGAATGCCAGTGGGAGGAAAAACATTTCATATTTGACCTCAAAATAGTATCAACTAATGTATTTTGTTAATTCTCATGACTTCTATTCATTGTCTGGAAAACCCTGAACCTGGTTGCTCGTAGTTCAATGATGTTAGCAGTGATGGTTTGATTTTTTTTTTACATAATACATGCAAAGAATAAATTTTAAGTAAAATAAATTTAAAATTTTGTTTTTATTGTTATTGTTTTCATATGTTGGTGGTGGAGGGAGTATGGAGTAAGGAGAAAATAATAGTATGCTTTTTCTCCGAGTTTTATCCAGACAACACTGCTACCATTGGCCTTCAGAAGAACCAATGTTCCTCATTAAAATTATACAGAATGTTTAATTTACATATTGTTATATTACCTAGTGTCACCAAGTTCAGGAATTTTCCAACAAGAGTGCATCAGTAAATAGATGGTGAGGCCGGACAAAATGTGATAATGAAGTCAAGCTGTATTAAATATTGTAGATAGGAAAGGAGAAGGTGGAATCTGAGAGCCTCTGTAGTTTGAGTATATGTGATGGCCAAGATTAACAAAATGATCCCTGACTCAGAATGATGCTAGAAGTGCTACCAAGAACAAGTCTCACCTCTGGCACCACCCTCCACTGTGCTTCTGTCTGCCAGAAATGTCCTCTGCCCTTTAACTCATGCACTCCCACCCTCACTTTCATAAACTCGTTTATAAAACTATGTAAACAATAAACTACAAATCTCAGCTCAGGTATCAAAATATCTCAAAAACCTTCTCCAACTCCTCTCCCCCTCCCCCAGGTAGTCACTTCTCCCATAGCTACAGCATTGTCCTATCCTTAATATGGTACCAGCATTGAATTTTAAACATTTTATTTCTAGGTTCTACTAGTCTCTCCTAATAAAATGTGTTCTCTTTAAAGAATCTAATACATCATTGGGTGTTGAACTTTATGTAATAGGTTTTCAACATAATTTATTGGTTGGTTGTTTGACTGATAGGCTGACAAGGTTAAAGGTAGGATGGATGGATGGATGGATGGATGGATGGATGGATGGATGGATAATATTAAAAGTTCCAGTGCACTGTGTGTATTTCAGCTTATTCAACTGGGAACTTTTTCTCTAGAAGTTTATATTATTTTAAAGTTCTAAGTTTATATTAAAATTTAAAAAATTAAGATTTAAGATTCTCTACACCCCATAATCTCAGGGACACCTATAGCACTTTCTTGGTCACAACTGTTTGCTAATACTGATAGGTGATGTGTGGCAGAGATTATTTCCAGCCTGGAGTTGGGTATCGTAAGGAGTCAACAATATTTGCTGACTATAAAGAACATCTGGATTTAGGTGGTGCCGTTTCAGTAAAATACAGTGGGGCCTTGACTTACGAGTTTAATTCGTTCCGAGACCGAGCTCGTTAAGGAGCTCGTTAACTCAAATTACTCTATCAACTCAATGCAAAAAATCGGCTGAGAGACAGCTGGTATCTCAAAAAACTCGTTAGTCGGGACACTCGTAAGTCAAGGCCCCACTGTATAATGTTTGATTTAGTAGCTTTAGTTTTAGCAAAAAGAAGTTCCTAGCTTTTAAAAAAAAAGAATATATTAAAACTAATGAACTGCCCATCTAGTGTATATCCATCACAGTTTCTCGGAGCTTATTTTCTTGTTTCCCATTTGGGCTAATGGGGGCTTTGTGGGAGGCCTCAGCCATCACTGATGAGCTGTGCCCCAGTCTCACTCCACCCCCACCCCATCTTCTACTTTCAGGGCAAATTAAGTTCAGCAAGAGGCTTGACAGCTATCAAATCAAAAACCAGGCTAGGCCCTGAGTGAATAGTTCCCAGTCCCTGGTTATCTTTCTTATTTGACCCTATTACATACCAAATATATCGTCAAAACATTGTGGAAGTTTTTCTTAATCAAAGAGCATGGTATATCTATACTCATAAAAACATGTCCTACAGGGTAACAGCATGTATTGTTTTTTAAATTGTTGCTAAGAAAGTAGATCTTAAAAGTTCTCATCACAAAAAGAAAAAAACAATGTTATCAGGTGATGGATATTAACTAGACTTATTGTGGTGATCATTTTTGCAATATATTCAAATATTAAATCATTATGTTGTACACCTGAAACCACTAGTAATATGATGTTACATGTCAATTATACCTTAATAAAGAAATAAGTAGAAAAAATTTTAAAGTATGCCAGGAGGCAAAAAAGAAATTATTGCTATGGTCTTGAAATGCAATTATTTTACCATTGACTTAAATGATCTCAAAGGCATTTTTACTCCATTTCTGTCTGGTCTTCAGTTTGCCTCCAGAACTTCATATTTCTCTCCACACTTTCTCTATCCTCTGCCAATCTTCTCTTCATCTCTCAGCTCTCATGATCCAACACCTTATATGCATTTTCCTCTCTGGCACAGCACCCTAATTAAAACTCTTTGACACTCTTTGGTGCTTTCCTTCACCAGGGTCAGGGACACTGTTTATGAGCTGAAAATATTAACTGTTGTTGTTTTTTAATTCCTAGATAGAAGAGCGAGCAGAATTTTTGAATAAGTCTGTGCAGAAAAGGTAAATATGGTTGATTGTTCACTGGAGAATCACCAGCCATCATATGTATGGAAAGATTTTCTCTCATATCTTTATGTGTGTGTTTATTTACTTAACAGTGGTGTCAAATCAACTCATCAAGCGGCTGTTGTTTCCAAGATTGACAGCAGACTGGAGCAATACACCAGTGCCATTGAGGTGAGCGATGTCCGCAGGGTTGTGCTCAAACAGAAATCAGCTCTGATTGTGTAAATGATCATAGAAACGTTTAGGACAATAAGCAAGTCTAATAACCACATTAGTGTTAGAACATTAATAATGCTTTATTATACTTGAAACTAGTTAGAGAGAAGAACAGTAATACAGGTGAATTATAGAAGGGTTTTAAATAAATTATTGTTTACTACCTTCAGCCTGAGTATTCTTTAATGAAGGTGTTATTCTTTTAAGGAATAGGCTTATTGATATTCAACTATGTTATTTATATGTTACTATGTATATCTTCTAATATTAATTCCTTATAAAATATGTTCCTATATGTAGTTAAACAGGTCCCATGTAACCTTGGTTAATCCTTATTTGTCTATAAAAACTTTTATGTTCAAACAGTAATAGTATGAGTTAATATAAAGATGATTGCCAGCTAGAGTTTAATCACCATGAATTTCAAATTGATTATTTTATGCTTAAAGGATCATAGTTATATGCTTCTGTCTATTCCAACTTTTTCCCACAAACTTGACCCAGGGGTTCTACCACATTTAGAAATAATGTATATTTCCAAGTACCAAAGCTCTAAAAAGGTAGGATCCCATTAATCAATGTGTGATCCTAGTTTTTTCTCCTTTGTGTGGACTTTAAGCACTGATTTTAGCCACCTTCTATGTCAGAACATCTGCTATGAAGGAATTGGATAAGCTTGATTTGATTTCCTCCTCTCCTTTATACTGCAGAGTGGACATAAGTATAAAATAATTCACAATCAAATAAATTATGAGGGAATAAAAATGAGATCTGAATGATTTATCAAATGAATAACCAAGTCCTAATACTCAAGAGGTGATTTTCACAAGATTAAACGTCCACTAAAATATAAGACAAATTGCAGATAGTTATTTTCTGTGGTTACATTTATTATAGCTCTAAGAGGGTTGATGAAGCCAAGACTGTGGCTTCAGCCTTTACATGGTCCAGTGATGGTGCCACTCACCATGGCTGACCACCTCGACCACACAGGCCACCGGTTACAAAGCAGGACCAGGCAGGAAATTGCATGATTCTGGGCATGCCCATCACTACTGCAGAAAAGTATCTCAAATGCACACTTTTCTTCCTTACATCCATTCTTTCCTCCTCCCAGGATATTCTCCATAAAGTGGCCTCTCACTCTTTCAATTCTTTATCGTGTCCCTGTCTCCGGTCCTTTGCATATGCTGTTCTCTCTGTATGGAATGGTGTGTGTGCCTCCTTTTACCTAGCCACTTCCAAGTCTCCCATCAATCTGGGTTTAAATGTCACTTCCTCAGAGTAGCCTTTTTTGCTCCCTATTACATTATTATTATTCCCCTATTGTGTGCTCTCTTGGCATGCTTTATGACACTACATTTATCTTTCATAACACGCCGAAATGTGAAATATATACTTATGTCATCAATTACTATCTTCCTGTCCTATTAAAATGTAAGTCCACTGCAGCTTACGGAGCAGACTGTCTTGTTTTGGGTACCACTCTAACACCAGCGCCTAGACAGTGCCCTGCACCCAGTAGGCACTGAGGTATCTGTTGAAGAAATGAAGTAGAATATCACTTACACAATAAATGGCATCCCAGTAAAAAAGCATATTTCATTTTTGAAAGACCCTCTGATCTAGATCTCAGGGTGGATTTTTTGGTACATACGTCATCAGAATGCAGTTTTTGGTGAAGGCATTTAGACAATAACTCTTAAATGATACTGAAGAGGAAGAGAGTACTTGACAAGAACAAACTTAGCACAATCCTAAAGATAATTCACACACTTCAGGGGACAAAAGCTGCAAAACCCACGAAGCCAGCAGCCTCGGACCTTCCTGTGCCTGCGGAGGGCGTCCGCAATATCAAGAGCATGTGGGAGAAAGGGAATGTGTTCTCATCCCCCACCGCGTCAGGCACGCCAAACAAGGTGAGCTCCGGAGCTCCGTCTTTTAATTTTGGAGGGTGGGTTTCTTTTCCTTTTCTTTTTTCTTTTTAGCAAACCACATTAGCTCATTATAAAAGCAGTGGAGAAGGTGTAATTCTTACTTTCTTTTGCAACAACCATAAAAGCAAGCTCACAGATGCTAGACAGTGTACTCCTACGCTCTGGCCACTTTCCTAAATTGAGTTCTTGAAATTAATTATCAACCTTGGGGTTGGGTGGGGTGGGGTTGGGTGAGGTGCGGGGGCAAGCAAACCAGATAACATTCTTTAAATATCAAGTTTAAGGTTCATTTCACTCAAAATATTGATCATAACGAGCAATCATTCATTGGTGTTACGGGATGGTTACATGAAATAATAACAAGCAATAGTATTATTTGAGGTTTCTTTGGAGATTTCTTTCCAGGTAAAGTTTGTCTTTGTCTTTAATATTGGATGGTTGACTCCTTGCAGGAAACTGCTGGCTTGAAGGTGGGGGTTTCCAGCCGCATCAATGAATGGCTAACTAAGACCCCAGACGGGAACAGGTCACCTGCTCCCAAACCGTCGGTAAGTAGCTCCGGGTTTTCTGGATTTCCTTGATCTCTCAGCTCCCAGCAGCAGGAGAAATCTGGCTGTTGGTCTGTTTGCCTGGGAAAGGCAGTGCTCCTGTCTCTGCTGTCCATGCTGAGCAACAAACAAGGAGGGGTTCAGATTTAGAGAGAACAGCCCCAAGCAGCTGCCCCACAATCGCCCAGAGGCCGTAATTAACCAGAACCCAAGGCCGCTCAAATTTACACTCTTTCCTGGTCTGTGTGTTTAGCTCCTATTCTATAAATTACGGCTGGGAATTAGAAAATGAAAATGTCAAATTATCTTGGCCACTTCTCTGTCGAAAGCACCTCTAAATTTATTCCCCAAAGGAAGTGTATGTTGGCTATTTTGAACCCATGGTTTCTAATTTGCCTAATTTATGTAACTTAATACAAAAAAAAAATACCATTTTTAGGTAGTTGTTGAAGTAATTGCCATAATTTTTTTTTTGTCAACACCTCCAAAGAAAAGCCATTTTGAAAAACACAGTAAAACTGGAAACTATAAGAGCTTGTTATTTTTGGAAATCTAAATTTTTCTTAATATTTATTAAGTGTGACTATTTACTATAAAAATATTCTTTTAACCTTTTCATTGAATATATACGATAATTGCCTTGCATTTATCATTATGATAAAGAGCCTTATTAAGCTCCTACTGTGTACATTGGTGAGCTTTCTCTGTTAAGTTGGCTTTTATATATGCCTCGGTGCCCAAAGGAGCAGAGACTCAACTGTCCTAACTATCCCCTCGCAGAGGTAGAGTAACGCTTTCCAAATCCTAGACCTCTGTGCCGCTGAGCGTTTCATTGTATCCAGTGGCTCCATATTTAATCTCCAAAGTCACTAGAGGTTACCAATTCCAATTTAAGAAGAAAAAATGGAAATATTGTCTACACTTCTTGAGTGCAACCCCTTATAGTCACCTAATTAATAGTCAGGATTTTTTGCCTAAGGGCTCACATGAGGTATAAAACTAATGTAAACCCAATTTACAATCAGAAAGTCTTGATATATTGAAAAATATATATTTTCCCCTCTCCCGGTAAATAGAGGGGAGGGAAGCTATAGAAGGAGAGAGTCGAGGGGGGAGGGGTCATACCCACAAGGTGTTTGCTCTTTATTGCCCTGAACCCAAGGTGACATATAGAGTAGAAGTTATTTTTTAATGGAAATTTATGTAAATTTTGTGGCCCCAGACCAGTGATTATTAACCTTTTTGAATTATGGAGCCTTTTGAAAACCTATGAATCTGAGGGCCTTCTCCCCTAATACATGTATATCACTCGAGTTCCGGAAGTTCATGGACCCACTGAAGAACTCTCAAATTAGCAACGATAAAGAGAGGAAGGTGTGTTTTCCTCTTTGATGAATTTGGCACATTGCTAGAGAACCTGGTCACTTTTTTGTGTTTATTTTACTTGTGACATATTTCATTTCTGTACCGGATTTTACCAAGCCTATCACCGTCTATGTCATCCTAATGGGAGAGTTAAAAGAAATTCAATTCAGTTATTATGTCAAGGCTTCCACAAAAAGCCCCATTCTCTGGGGTAACTGATAGCATCATAAAAACGGCAGGACAAAAAGGTCTGACAGGGAAATTCGGAAAGCATTGCCTGCTTTACCTACCAGTTAGTGACTGAGTTGCTAGACCAGTGATGGCGAACCTATGACACGCGTGTCAGAGGTGACACGCGAACTCTTTTTGGTTGATTTTTCTTTGTTAAATGGCATTTAAATATATAAAATAAATATCAAAAATATAAGTCTTTGTTTTACTCTGGTTGCGAATATCAAAAAATTTCTATATGTGACACAGCACCAGAGTTAAGTTAGGGTTTTTCAAAATGCTGACACGCCGAGCTCAAAAGGTTCGCCATCACTGTACTAGACCATCTCCTAAAGGACAGAAGGAAAAAGAAAGAAGAGTGGCAATCACACAGGTTGTAGTGATCTCTTTTCCTGTGATCCACTGGATTTTGCAGACGAGGGTAACCTCCTGAGTGAAAGCCAGATTGGAAGAGAGCAGTAGGTAGTTGCTGTTGTACATGAAAAGCCAGTGTGAGTAGACTTAACCAGCAACGTTCAACTTGGTTCCCAGTTCATGGGTGACAGAGCCAGCTCTTGTCAAGATCTGAATAGCAGCATGGCAGTCTCTCTGGGAAAGATGTGACCTGGACCCAGGAAGGCAGGACGGTAACTCACAGACACTACAGATCCAGCAAAAAAAGATGACATTTCCGAGCTGCAGAAAGGCCTAGAAGGGTCCTACAGGTGCATAAAACTTGGCTGGCCAAAGGTTAAGTCCAGCAATGCAGCTTAAAAAGGCAGGTCAAAAAAATAAATAAATAAATAGGCAGGTCAAGCAAAGATCTTGCCCGGGTCTTATCAGGGGCCTCACAGTAAGATTTGTGTAGTTTGACCCACACCATTGTGCTTTATTTTCCTTCTAAAAATTGTAATTTGAACACATTTTTAAAGTGTGGAGGCATGTACTCCTGAATTTGTTGATTCCCTCTTTTCCTTATTTGTTTACAACAAGCCTTTTCAGGCCTTTGAGTTTCCAGCCTGGCCCTTCATGGCAGGCCTCTGAGTTTGACACCTTTGGGTCCCCGGCCATACTGACTCTGAGCTCTGAGCTCTGAGCCCAGGATGTTAGGGTTACCTAAAGACAACAAACAGTAGGCCCCCGAAGGTGCCATCTGAGTCTGGACCCGAGGGGATTTATTCCCTGGCCCTTGCTTATCTTCCTTGGTGTATGTGGCTGGAGAGGAAAGCCTGGGCTTGTGTTTGCAGATGTGTGGCAGGTGGCCACTGAAGAAAAACAGAGGGAGATTCTTTCACCGAAATGGTCCTCACCCAGTGAAACCTCAAGAGGAAGGAAATTAGTGTTTCCTTTGAGATGAGTGTTTAGTTCCAAAACTCACTGGACAGAACAACCATCCTTTACCAAGTTGTATAATAATTTCCAAACATGCTAGGAAGTAAACGTGCTCAAAATAGTTTGTCAAACCAATATTATTTGGAGGGGGTCCCTGAAAATTAACTTATTTAAAAACAAACATTGATCCACATCTGATCCCTTCCTGGGACATCGCTTTGCTATTTGTGGGCAGAATTTATGGGATTTCGGTGTAATTTTGTAACCAGAATTCAATTCTGAGTATGCCTGTTTTAGCTGGTTTGTCTGTTCTTTGTTGTCTAAACTACATGTTACATGCAGCTAAATTAAAATGCTAATTTGTCTTTCTTTTTGTTTAAAAAAAACAACAACCATGTCTTTCTCAGCTGAATTCTCTTCTTCATTCTTTGATCTCTGGGTGACTGGAAACCTGCCTCTCCTGCCTTCATTTCTCCCTCTTCTCCCGGACTGGGTCTTTGTCTAAAATGTAGTCTGGTCAGGTAATTGCGTTTCTATTTCCCCTTTGATTTAAAATGCCAACTCACCACTTGGATGTTCATATTTTCTTAAAATAAGCTCTTTAATTGATCTCAAAAGATTCATATGGGAGATTTAAGGGAACTACAGTCCGTTTTCTTCTGTAGAACATTCATGTGAAAGAAAAATATTTGTCTTCTATGAATCAAATAAATAAAGTAATAATAGCCACTTTCCAGAGCTTCCATCAGCATGTGCCTAATTATAGTTTCCAAAACTTTAAAACAGTCTTCCAGACAATTTGGCAGCTTCTCCCTACATTGGCAAAAGTAGTGGAACCCTTCAAAAACAACCTGATTTGTTGCTTACTGGTTCCAAGTTAAATAGGTGTAGCTCTCTAATAGGATATCAGGAATGCGTGCCACAGTGGAACTCCAGAAACTCAGTAGGATTAAGGCAAATCTGAAATGCAAAAAAAAAAATAAAATTAAAATTAAAAATCTGAAATGCTTCACATGGTACCATTTAACCAGTGCACTTTCAGTGTTGAGCCCTCCCTACTATCTGTCAAAACATGCCCATTTAGACTGGTGCCCATGGATAAATGCAATTGCTGTTCGCTTTGCCTTCCTAATGAGAAAAGGATGTGCCAAAATAAACATGACTATTTCAGTTAAAACACATTTATATTCTACAAACTACCTTTTGCCAAGCACATGCTGGAAGAAAAGTAAATGGAAACAGAAATGTGGCTCCTTGTCCAAACCAAATTAATTTCGAGGTAGCAAATAAAGAATCAAAGCTATATAACTGTTCTCTCTCCGAGATTTCCACATGTTCTCACATATGTTATTCAGTGTCAGTTTCTCTTACGGGTGCAGTTTGTGGTCAGTGTTTACTCTGATGGGGCTAGGTTCTACCGATGCACTTCTGAATCATCCACTCACTCCGCAGGAAACACACAATGACTTTAGTCTGAGGGAAGTGCCATTAGAAGTTGGATGCAGATTTCCTACTGCACAGAGGTGTGGGGAGGAGGGGTTGGCGCCCCTAACCCCCACGTTGTTCAAGAGTCAATTGTATTTAAAACCACCCTATCCTGTATTCACTTCTAAGAGCATAGAAAGTTAAAAATAGGCTATATTATTTTAAATATGCCTGTGTTCCAATTTTACTGATCCATAAGCAATAAGTCCTTGATGAAGAACAGGCCCTAAAGGCTGGATAGTTCCAGCCCATTCTCATGTCATAACCTGGTCCAGGTCTATTATAAAAACAATGGCTCATGATCCCTTCAATGCCATCCATTTCTGATCACTAGGATAAAGTGTATTAACTAGAAATCGATTCAAACCAACAAACACAGATGTGGTGACTTATTTAGACCTGGCAGAGAATATATAGGGCCACGTATTAATTTTATTCTGCTTTCTCTTCATTAGGATTTGAGGCCAGGAGACGTATCTGGCAAGCGGAACCTCTGGGAAAAGCAATCCGTGGATAAGGTCACAACCCCTGCCAAGGTAATGTCAGTCCAAATGTTTCTATAGTCCCCTTTTGGAGTAGAGAATGTCAGCTGTCCATTGTCCATCGTCATAGGTATAATGTCCATCATCGTCATAGGTAACATTCCCCTGAGCCAGGGTTCCGGGACGTGGAGTAAAGATATGATCTGGAATGTTAGGACCCAGAGAACGCCACTCATATACAACACAGCAGGAATGGTGGCTCTCCCTGGAACTGTGCAGCATGGTGGCTCCAGGTGGGAGGGGGACAGGGTGAGTCTTCACACGCTCTGCCCCCTCCTTCTTGATCTAGCCCACAAACCCTTCCTACAGTAATAATTCTATAACCACCAGGCCCACAGCTGAGGTTATGAGGTAGCAGAGTAGGTAGCTCCTTTGTTCCAAAATGTCAGACTCACTACACGTCATGCAGTGATTCATTTGAAATGAAAACACACAACACATTTGAACATGCAGATTCACAATACTACACTCGGCCATCGGTGTCCTCGGGTTCTGCATCCGCGGATTCAACCAACCACAGATTCAACCAACCCCGGATCAAAAATATTTGAAAAAAATTACATTGTTGCTAATGTGTACTATGCAGTTAGGCCTATGATGGTTGCTTCTGTATTGAACATGTACAGACTTTTTTCTTATCATTATACCCTGAATAATACAGTATAACAACTATTTATATAGCATTTACATTGTACTAGGTATTATAAGTAATCGAGAGATGATTTAAAGTATACGGCTTATACGCAAATAATATGCCATTTTTTATAAAACACTTGAGTGTCCACAGATTTTGGTGTCCATGGAGGCCTGGAACCAGTCCCCCTAGGATACGGAGGGACGACTGTACTTTAATACTTGTGAACACCTCAGCAAGGATTTTTAGCAGCTAGCTGGGGAAAAGAAATGATATACAAATAAGACTATGAGTCAAATGTCAGATAAGTTTCAACAGTAGGGATAGAAGTACAGGGGGGAGGAAATAAAGAACAGAAGAAAACTAAAGGTAAGCATAGTCCACTTCACCCTCCTGCCTTGTCCGGCCGAGACTGTCATTCCATCATGTGTGCCTGTTCTGGATGCACACTATAGATTCCTGGCCCTTAGAGTGGTGTTAAAAATAAAACTGCCTCCGAATGCCCTGAGCAAGGCTAAAAATCAAGTTAGAAAAAAGGTAATACAAAGAAGAAAGAGAGGAAGGAAAGAGAGAAAAAGGTGGGAAGGGAAGGGAAGGGAAGGGAAGGGAAGGGAAGGGAAGGGAAGGGAAGGGAAGGGAAGGGAAGGGAAAAAAATCAACAAGAGAAAGACTAAGAGGAGCATATTTGAATAGAATGCCAACAATAATCCTCCCTTTCATAAATATTTATTCCTGCCATATTCTAATTCTTTTTTTTTTCTTCTGACATAAACATCTGGCTGAAACACTGTGGCCTGCCGATTTAAAGCTCTCTTCTCTTAACAGGTGTGAGACCGTTCAAGAAAGAAGCCAGAGTAGCCACTCAACATGCTGGACCAGCTCAGCTGAAGAGGGTTAATGTGCTCTGTTCTATATTTATGTTGATTTACTAAATTGGGTTAATTTCCTTTTGTTTTATTTTTCATTATCCCAGTAAACCCATGTATATTTTCACTATATTTAATAATCACAGTCTAGAGAAGTTCATGGTAAAAGTACTGCCTTTGCACAGGAGCCTGTTTCTAAAGAAACCCATGCTGTGAAATAGAGACTTTCTACTGATCATCCTAACTCTGAACGGTGACACCAACCACGTCGGAAGTCGAGCAGGAGGAGGTTCAAGCTGAAAATTTGCCTGAGGAATGTGTGCAGTGTCCAGAAAAACAAACCATAGTGGGGTTTGGGGTTTTGTTTTTTGTTTTTTGTTTTACATACAGAAGTCATGTTGTTTCTGCACTTTAGAATAAAGCATGGAAGAAATGATCTCAGTAGGCAATTGTAACACTTTCTGAAAGTAATGCATTCAGATTTGAGATTCTGCAATGATTGTCTTTTTTTAAAAATGTACTGTTAAGGTATTACTTTTTTCATGCTGATGATTATCTAAATTGGATGATGATGTTAGAAGACAGTGGTACTGATATCTTTAGGTTGGTTGCTTTGTGGATTTCTTTGGTAGTGATAGTGAACCACATTTTAGATGACCTGATCATGTATGTATGTGCATACACGTATACAAACACACTAATGGTAGAAAGCTTCTTTTATGTGCTAGACTATTATATTTAGCAGTATGTCCTTGTAACTAGCCAATATCACAGCTTTTCAAAAATTAAAAATCACATTATATTAATATTCATATTTGCCAATAGAGACATGGCAGAATAGGTATCAATATATCTTCAATGCCCAATAGATAAACTGTAAGAAAAAAAGAGAGATTTGAAATGTCAAAATGAATTGACATTTTCTATAAAGCATAGTATTTAGCTTATAATGAAAAGCAATCTTGAAGTCCAATGTGAATTTTACTACCATCTGGATCAAACTCAAAGCTTGCTGAGAACTTTATTTTGTTAGCAATCAAGTTCACAATCGGTTGGCTTCGAGGATATCTGAGGTCTCTTCTTTGTCTAAAATTTAAAGACGAGGATTTTAGTGACAAGATTGTCCAGATTGAAATTCCACGTGTGGGTATGCAAAGACCAGCTTTGGCTAATGTCTGGAAGCAGAGAAGAGAAGTAAGCAAATTCCAATATTTAAGAGTCATGATAGTCCTTCATCTTTATTATACGAAACCATTTTTTAAATTAAAAGTTTCTACTTTTATTAGTCATTGGTACTTGTCATAAGTTGATAATGTATTGAACTTTCAAAAAATATATGTAACTTTTAGTAGTTTTACTATTTTCCCCAAGAGTCTTTATCAAATCATCTTTTTTTATACACGTAATCTAGACATCAGATCTTACTTTAGCTTATAAGTGTTCATCTGTTCTTCACAATAGATGATAAAAGAGTACTCCTCTGTCTTGGCAATATGTTTTAGCATAGAGATATATAGGATAGTTCTATAAACTTATACCTCATTTGACTTAACCAAAAGTGTCCTACTCTCAATTTCTACCACAATGAGGGAGCCTCACAAATGACTATTTTCTAACCTACAGTATTTCCCTGGAGGAGCCGGCCAGGACAGGGCTGACATGAGCAGTGACTACTGCCTTGCGGAGTCTGTTTTTTTCAAAAATCAGTAAAGAGTAGCTGAATTCTCTAGCTTTTAGCACACCTGGGCCAAAGGAAGGAAAACCACCAAGATCACACACATCATCCACCCGTGACAGAATAGATATGAGTCTATGATAAGATAATCTAGAACCCACATGTAGTGCCTCATTTAGCATTGACTCCCATCACTGGAGTGACATGGATCGAAGTTTGAATTAAGGCCCATGGCGATATAACATTGCTTTGTTGTACTTTTGAACAAGAGCTTCTGATCACTAGTATATATATTTGTTTCTAGAAAGTCTAAAGTTGAGAAGAGAATATATCGATCCTGACTTTTATTCCGATATTTGGATGGAATAAGTTTTAGGGTAGAATTTTGTTCAGTTCGGATTTAATCTTTTGAAAAAAATAAATTCCATTGTTTACTTGTCTGATTACAATTCTCTGTGTTATCTTTAAGAGGTAAAACTGCAAGGTGACTAGCATGTTCTGTGAATCTGCCATTCCTAAAAATTTTATAAACACTTGATGTTTTTCACTGATAACTGATCGCTGCAATAAGTATATATTGTGAAAATGCATCCACAATAAATGGAATTCCTCCAAATGCCATTGCCTCGCTTGTTTTTTTATGTGCTATATTGGTTATAGGAGTTATATTGCTTGTAATAAAGATGACCGCAGAGCAAAATGTATTCTTCAGGTTGAACCTTGGTTTCGCCCTTTAAAGAAGAAAAGCCATTTCATATTTTGTAAAAACTTATTATGGGCATTTTTCTAACAACTCACCAAATATGTATGGAAAAGTTTGAAAAGGGAGATTTTAAAAATTCTTCTTTAAAAGAAATTATCAAATGTTCCTCCATCCTCCTTCTCAATCCCAGTATTGTCACACACCACCTTTCTTGCTCCTAAGATGGCAGTACTGTTTCCTCAAAGGTAGTCTCTTTTATAGTAGAATTAAATATATACCCTTTGTTTGCAGAATATTACTATTACCAAGGCAATGGCAATTACATTTAAATCCAAAGGTGTTTCTACCTAATTTTGCATATCTATATAGCACTACTTGGTCTGAAATCTGAGGCTTTTCTCATAAAGGTTTTAAATGGTGAGTCCAGAGCTCCTGCTCAGTCCCTAAATCCTGCCCGTTAGAATGACAGAATTAACTAAGTTACTGGAATTTAAAAAATATTTAGCACTTTTTTACTTCTATGTCCTAACAACCCAGGCGATGGAAGTAAGTTTAGACAATAAGATAGTTGTCATCAAAGTTAATTCACAATTAAGCAATGCAAAGAATACAATCTGTAATACTAATACCAAGATGATGGAAATAGAGATGGATTAAAATTAATTTTACAATGTGCATATTCAGAGTATAATATATTCTCTTGTGTGATGTAGAAACAGGTGTATTGGAGGCTTTTTCGTATCTTTGCTTGCATGGAAGAATGGATAGGAAAAAAAAGATCTCATGACCCTAAATATGTATTCTTCCACAAAAGAAAGATGACTGAATCAGGTCTTAATTTGAATGATGTGTCTATTTGTGTCAAGCTTCTTATTCATGTTGTCCAAACATTCTATATTCTTACTGATTATTTTTTTGTTCCTTTGGTCTATTACTGAGAAAAAATATAAAAATATCCCATCATGATTATGGATTTACCTATTTCTCCTTATAATTTTGTTAATATTGTTTTCCATATTTTAAGGTCATGTTTTAGGTACATATACAAATCTAGGATTATTATACATATATTCCTAGTGAATAAAATATTTTATCCTTGTGAAATGAATTTATGGTTAGCAAAGATTCCTGCCTCTTTATTTTTTCTATTCTTAATATTGCTACAGTGGCTTTCTTTTGGTTAGCACTTGCACAATATAACTTTTCCAACCCTTTACTTTCAACCATTGTATATCCTTTAGTTTCAGATGTATGTCTTTGAAAATTATATGGTTTGAGTTTGGGTTTTAATCCAGTCTGATCATCTTTGAGCTTTAACTGGAGTATTTAGCCCTTTTATATTTAATGTAATTACTGATATTTTTGCATTTAAATAGCATCCTAGTTATGTGCCATCTGTTGCTTTCTCTCTCTTGCCTTTGTGCCTGGATTTCTTCTGCTTCCAAACGTGTGCTGATCTACAAGAGTCAGCTGAAACTGGGCTAGACTTTTGGCAACCCGATGGGGCTAGAGGGCAAAAGAATCATCATCTGTCAAGGATGAGGGTTTGTTAAACTAATTCCAGATTATGAGTTTCCAAAGAGCTGCTCCTGAATGTAAGGATGAGCTTGAAGGAATCTGGTCTTCATAAAGATTGCTGCCTGCCTTCACTCTGGGGAACAATTACAGTACTCTAGTGGGGAGGTAAATTATAAATAACAGACATAAAAAGTTACAAAATATTGAGTAACAATTCAAGAATTTAAGAGATAAAATATCACAAGGTTAGTACATAATTGTCAAAGAATTATGTAATACATAATTCAGTGTTTAGCGGGAGGAGAGAATACTTTAACCTGGGATAATCAGATAAAAAAAAAGTAGTTGCCTTAATTCTTTTGTGCCCTCAGATGTATATCCAGTGCTCTACACACAGAGGTGTTTGGTAAGTGATAAGATGTTTTCCAAAGCACCTCAATTTATAAACTGCTAGATGTACTGCTATCAATTTTTATACAGTTCTTACAGATCTGAGGGTTAATTTGTTTTATGACATTTTTATTCCCAGGTTTATAATTCCTGTATCCACTCAGCCCTGCCTCTCAGCTCCATAAAGAATGTTGGCCTCTCACTTTAATACAGATTTCATAGCAGAGTTTTGCCAAAGCATGCTCTTAGTGATGTCAGCTTTTGTTATCTTGAAGTTTTTCCCCAAAAAAGTTTTATTAAATTGGGTTTTAGAAGTCCCAACTGATCATTTCTACCAAGATAAAAAAACAAAAACAAAAAAAACCTTTATTCAATAACCTCTTACTGAAGGTACTAATATAAAAATTATGTAAAAGAGCTACAATCATATAGAGCACAAGATTAGTTCCTTAGCTGGTTTTCAACCTGATCAGTGGTGGCACCATAGTTATGCAGGGATCAGTGCAGCAAGGTAAGTAGATGCCCACGTACTAGAGGGTGTCATTGCCATCAATTGGAGGTCAGCTAGTCAAATGGTAATGACAGCTAACATTAATTGGGTCCTTACCAAGTCCCAGGCAGTATGTTATTCACTCATGCAATCCTTACATGATAGATACTACTGTGTTATTCCCACTTTACATGTAAATAAATGGAAGCACCAAGAAGTTAAAAAGGTTGCTCAAGGTTATATAGCTACTAGAGGCCTGGTGCATGAAATATGTGCACTTGGGAGGTCCCTCGGCCTGGCCTGCACCCTCTCACAGTCCTGGAGCCCTCAGGGGATGTCCCACTGACGGCTTAGGCCGGGAGCGGGCCTAAGCCAGCAGTGGGACATCCTTAGCGCTGCCGCAAAGGTGGGAGAGGCTCCTGCCACTGCCGCTAGGGCAGTGGTTCTGCCATTCAGTCAATTTGCATATTAGCCTTTTATTATATAGAATTAAGTGGCAGAATATTTGACCCCAGGTAATTGGCTCCTGAGCCCACACCCCTAACCTCTAGTCCCCACAATCTCTCACAAGAGATTGTTATTGTGTAGGAGCATGCCTAGAAGAGAGCCCCTTGTTGGGCAGGTTGGAGCCAACACTCTCTTCATGAAGCCCACAGACATGGAGCAAGAACAGCACTTGAGACCAATACTGTAGACTTCAACTCGGCCCTTTTCCTCTCCAGCCCCTGCTCATCCTAAGACAACAGGAACTGGTACCTACAAAAAAGAGGAGATGGGTGTAAATAGCAAAACACCAATTCCCTCCCACTTCCCAAACCACCAGAGCTGGGGACAGATCTAGGTTGCCTGAGGGGTGAGGAGAAAGAGGGAGGTTGATTGACTTTGAAATTGAAGTTTAAAATATACTTAATACCAAATCCCTGAATGAAATCTTAAGTGCCAAAATGAAACTTTTAGTAGCTGAAAGTGGCTGAAAAGTTATGGAATCTTACCATGTCCTCTATAAAAAAAAAGGGGGGGGGGGCGGGGACTTCACCATTGCAGTTATTGGGGGAGGAGGGAGAGACCATGTTTTTTGTCATGAGACTTCTCACTGACCCTGGGAACTATATTTTCTCCTTTGAGGTGATTTATTCCATCCATTTTTTTGTAGAGTAGGCAGGGGGCATTGTTACTATCCCATTTCCAAGTATTTAGGAGAATGATGCCTCCCTGTGGTACCCAAATTTAGACATATTCTACAAACTAATTCTACCAATGATAGAGGGATTAGGAAAGACTTCACTGTGGGGATGAGCCTTGAACTGAGTCTTGGTTAGTTGACTGGCTGGGACAGATTTCTCAATTTGAGCTTGGGAACATTTTGAGAGGTTTGGCCTTATACTAGGTCATCCTAGACCCAGATAGTCTGAGGAAGGCCAAAATGGGTAATAGATGGGGGACCCCAGGGTTCCCAGGACCCAGTATGTCTTCCTCAACCAAATTGGGACCAGACCTGTACAGCCACATAACCACTAACTTCTGTGATGTCATAAATAACTCTGTTCTAGTCACTTCACATTCTCATTTAAGTCTCTGCTCAATTAATTCAAAATAATATAATTACATAAAATAAATTATAGTCCTAACCCAACTTACATTTGGCCAGGTTGCCAAAGTGAAGTTTCCTCCTGATTCCCACACTAATAATTGTGCCTTTTGGAGTCTTGTTTTGGATTTTATTTTCCTTCTTTCTTACTCTACTTTTATTATATTTCTTTTATTCTGCAGGCTTGGAGTCAATAAATTCACCCAAACTTAGAGGAAACGTTGCTCTAGGGGTGAGTCTGTCCAGTAATCTTCTCTGATAAGATTATGGGGAAGGGAAACAAAAATTTAGAATAATAGAAAGTCCTTGGAAATTCACTCCGGGCCTTACCTCCACTTTAACCTAAATGCAAATAATTCCATCTCTACTATATACTACTATCTGTAATAGGAGAGTAATTTTTTAAAATAAATTTTTATCGCCGAACCAGTTTGGCTCAGTGGATAGAGTGTCGGCCTGCGGACTGAGGGGTCCCAGGTTCGATTCCGGTCAAGGGCATGTACCCTGGTTGCGGGCACATCCCCAGTAGGGGGCATGCAGGAGGCAGCTGATCGATCTCTCTCATCAATGTTTCTAGCTCTCTATCCCTCTCCCTTCTTCTCTGTGAAAAATCAATAAAATATATATTTTTAAAAAAATAAAATAAAATAAATTTTTATCGATTTCAGAGAGAGAGAGAAAACATCCATGATGAGAAAGAATCATTGATCAGCTTCCTCCTGCATGCCCCACACTGGGGATTGAGCCTGCAACCCAGGCATGTGCCCTGACCTAGAATTGAACCGTGAACTCCTGGTTCATAGGTGGACACTCAACCATTGAGCCATGCCAGCCGGCTGGGCAGGAGAGTAAATTTCTTTTTAAATTAAAAAAAAAGAAGAAGAAGCAGGTGCTTAAGAAAACCATGTTTAATTTATTTGGGGCAGAAAAAAAGTCCTAAAGAAATCTCCCTCCTTAAAATGATACTGCCCTAGCTGGTTTGGCTCAGTGGATAGAGTGTCAGCCTGCGGACTAAAGGGTCTTGAGTTTGATTCCAGTCAGGGACATATGCCCGGTTTTTGGGCTTGATCCCCAGTAGGGGGCGTGCAGGAGGCAGCCAATCAATGATTCTCTCTCATCATTGATGTTTCTATCTCTTCCTCTCTGAAATCAATAAAAATACATTTAAAAAAATGATACTGACTTTAGCCAAGCTTTGACTAAACAGTACTACCTGGTATAATCCATAACACTGGTCTTCTCTTGGAGCCTTTGTATTTTCTGCTTCCCCTGCCTCCCTAGGTCTTCCCCTAGACATCCACATGGCTCATGCCTTTACTTGCTTCAGGTGTCTGCTCATATGCCCCCTGGTCGGAGAAGCTTCTCTGCACACCCCATCAAAAGAACTACTCCTACACCAAGGCCCACCCACTCAGCTCACTCCCCATGCTCAATTTTTCCCTGCTTTATTTCTCTCCATAGCCGTTATCATCACCTGGGTGTTTGGTTTCAATTGGTTTGTCTGTCTTCTCCTAATAGAATATAACCTCGTGCAATCACCTTACACTGGGAACAGTCCCTGATAAGTAGTAGGTATTCAATAAATACTTGTTGAATTAATGTAAGAATTGTGATTTTTCAAAGTTTGTTAAATTCCCAAGTATTTTTAGGCACTAAAATATTTTTTCTCTGTAGGATTACTTGAAATATGACCATGTAAGTATTTGGACTAGAAATCATGAGACTTAAGTCCCAGCTCAGCTATTAATTTCTTGTGTAACTTGGTTAGATAATTTCTTGGAGCTTCACCCTGTACATCTGACATCTTATGGCTCACAACCATGACTCTAAAATCCAACAGAAAAATAGATTCCATATAAAAATTATCTGTGCATGTCATTTTTAATAACATGTATGGCATAAAACAAGGTACAATTATAACTGGTAACTATTTTTCAAGAGAGCTTTATCTAATCTATTTCTTTTTCTGGAAGGTCCAAACTTCTAAATTGCTGACCTCAAAAAAAACCCATTATTTTTCAGAAACTTACAAAATCTAAAGATATGGACCATTTCCATGCTTAAGCCAAAGTGCTTTGACCTTTATGCTACTTTCAAACTTGCTATAATCCATTATCTCCATTTCTACAATATTACAAATCTCATGACATATAATACCCCAGGTAGGAACCAAACATCTAAAGACTTTTTTTCCTAGCCATACTACTTTGAAAACTGTTCCAAATACATTCAATTATCCACCAGAGCTAAAGATCAGGAGAAAATCAAGTTTGGATATACAGGAATCATGTCTAAGTCTGTAATGGGAAGCTCGTATTTAATTAGATGAGGCAATACATGTGAAGTGATTTGCATAGTGCCCTGCCAGATAATGTGTTCAATATGTTACCTAACGATTTTTATATTTAAAGAATCTCTGAGCTGATAAGAACCTTGAGAGCTCACCCTAGTGTATCTATGACTCCTCTATCAAGTATTTAATGAGAACATTTTTTCATTTCCAAATCAAATAAAGATCATTAGTCACACAATTGTGCAGAACACAACTCAGTGTGGGGTACAAATAAAGACCAACAAAGCACTAGTCTTGACCAGTAAGCTCTACAGCAGCGGTTCTCAACCTGTGGGTCGCGACCCCTTTGGGGGTCGAAGGACCCTTTCACAGGGGTCGCCTAAGACCATCGGAAAACACATATATAGTTACATATCGTTTTTGTGATTAATCACTGTGCTTTAATTATGTTCAATTTGTAACATGAAAATACATCCTGCATATCAGATATTTACATTACGATTCATAACAGTAGCAAAATTACAGTTATGAAGTAGCAACAGAAATTATTTTATGGTTGGGGGTCACCACAACATGAGGAACTGTATTAAAGGGTTGTGGCATTAAGAAGGTTGAGAACCACTGCTCTACAGCCTCTCCCCACCCCACCACCCGCACTACTTTCCACCCAGAAAGGGATTCCCTCTGCCCCTAGTTCCCGTCATCCTTCGGGGTCTCCCTTCCTCCGGCCGAAATCCCGCCCAGACTCCTTGCCTCGCCAGTACAGGCTAGGTGATTCCCCAGGGCTTTCTGAAGTCTCGCGAGGGTGGTCCCGTTGCCCTGGTAACGAGTGGCCTTGCCTCCGGGTGAAGGGCGTGGCTAGAGCCGCTGAACTGGACCGGGATTACATTGGGCTGTTACCCGCGGGGGCGGGAAGGAGGAGCCGACTGAGGCGGGACAGTGACGCGAGGTTCCGAAGGAAAGGAGATCAGCGGCGCGGCGCCCCCTGCGGGAAGCGAGCACAAGTGGACACACCCGCCGGGGGAAACGAGCTCCTCCCCACACCGCGGCTTCCAGGCGTGAGCGTGGGGAGGGCCTCGTCGACCTCCGGGATTGTGCTTCACCGTCCTTCCCCGAGGAAGTCCGTCGTCGTGCCCGCCCGCAGGCCTGGCTGGCTGGGCGTGGGGGCGCGCGTGTTGCCTCGTCCGCTTCGGCCGTGGAAGAAACGCGCGCGGTGTGCCCATTAGGCAATCAGCGCGGCTCTCCTGAAGCCCCGGTCTTACCCTGTCGCAGGTGAGCACAATGGTAACTGTGACCCTGCTCGAGGGGTTGGCTGCGTGGGTGTTCTGTTCAAGGAAGAGAGGTGTTGTCGCTAGTTTTATTTGTAGCGAGTAACGGGAGCTCACTTCCAACGCTCGGTCCCCCTGACGGCAGGCTCCGCTCTGGTTTAGACACGTTGTTTAGTTAATTACGCGTTCATTGCTTCTTTGCAGTTGGGTCAGCTTACCTGGTTGGGTTCCAGTCAGGCTCGTGAGGTTACACCTACATGTGCAGAATAGTGTACCTGGATTTTAACATTTAGCAAGAATCGCATTTAGTAGGAACCACCCAGACAGTAAGACCCTGGCCCTGCCTTACATTGGTTTGCCTCATATGCTCACGGAAGGAGATAGAATCAGATTTATGCCAAACCAGTTTCCCAAATTGGGAATCGTGGTGACCCCGGGGCTGAAACTTCAGTCTCTTCGTGTTGCAGGTCCTACCAGCGGTTCTCAACCTGTGGGTCGAACGACCCTTTCACAGGGGTCGCCTAAGACCATCCTGCATATCAGATATTTACATGACGATTCATAACAGTAGCAACATGACAGTTATGAAGTAGCAACGAAAATAATTTTATGGTTGGGTCACAACATGAGGAACTGTATTTAAAGGGCCAGAAGGTTGAGAACCACTGCGAGTGAGACTTCTCTGTTGCATCTGTAGTAACTTGCTGTGGAGCTTGGACTTTCTTCTGTGTAGTCTTGTTCCAAAACACACTTTGTGTAGAGCGGAGCTTACACAAATAGACTGGGAATTGGTAAATTCCATTGATCTAAAAAACAACAACAACAAAGAATCTTGACAAGGAGCTTGCATTATTTCATTGTCTCAGTAGTGGGAGGATACTTGCATAGCAGGGATAATGGTCGTCGCTAGTACAACCTTCTGATAGCTATTCAGATGTCTGTTAAGACAAATACAATTGAATATTAGAACGGAGACAGTATCTACGGAATAGTAGCCAAAATATAGAGTCTGTTGTCGGCATTTGAACCGCTGGTCAATTGAAAATTAAGTAGAAAACAAAATTTATTGCTACATTTCATTGCCTGAATAAGTAACTAATTTAAAAGATTTGTGGTCTTTTTAATGTCTCGGGATTATTCTGAACTTGCTATTGCTCTCTGGTATTTAATTGTAAATACAGGGTGTAAATGATTTGTCTGTGTACCCTATAAATTCTTTTTAAATTATTTACTTGGTTTGTCTTTTATTGTGATTTGGTCTCTTTCTCATAGAAATGAAAAATTTCTTCAAATCTTTGAAACTGAAGGTTTATTTAACCGTGTCCTAATAAATTAGTTTTAAAAGAAACCTGTTGTCACTTAATTAAATACAATAGAATATATTTTGGATACTCATACAATGTAATAAACACTTTTGATTTAGAAACTGTCAGTAAAGACCTTAGAAATTGTTTTCCATTTACAGCCCACCTACTCAAAAGGAGAAATATCGAGCCAAATACTGAAGAGATGTCAGAAGATTCAGAAGAAGACTATTCAGATAGAACAATCAGTGATGAAGATGAATCAGTATGTTTTCCTCAACTTTATCTTAATTTACTTTGAGATAAAACTTGTGTTATATAGATTCCCAGTAAAAGTATTATAAAACCAATTGAATGTAAGAATCAATTGGATGTTTAAATCACCTGTCATTGAAGTTGGGAAGTAATTTGATTGAAAGCCGAGATATTACTGTGTACAGTATGCCCCATCTAGAAAGAACCTATATTGGTTGTCTTTTTCTGAGAAAAAAATTTGGATAAAATTCTTCTGACTTTTACTAAAATATGTGTATTAAATCATTATTAGGGGTTTTTATACTCCCTGTCCACTTTCTTGTATGTACTGAGTCTACTGTTTTCATCATAATATGTATCATATACTGGAACCTTCTATGTTTTAAACCTACTATGTAGCTCCATAATAGGTTTAGTGTGACTCTGATGTAACAAAGGCAAGGACATGGAAGAAGAAAAAGGAGGAAAAAACAAAATGCAGTATTTAAAAATATTTTGTCTGGTTCTAGTAATATTTGTGAGATGTTTTCATCACATTTTATTTTTAGTAAAGTATAAATTATCATATATTTAAGTTAAGGTCCCCAAATAAGCTCCCCAAAATGATGTATAACCCTTTAAGTCTATGGCCTTCTGCATTTATGTTCTTTTTAAAAAATAATACTCATTAATTTTTAGAGCTACAGGAAGGGAGAGGGAGAGAGAAAGAGAAGCATCCATGTGAGAGTGGAACATGGGTCTGCTCCCTCCTGCACGCCCCCTACAGGAGAATCGATCCTACAACCCAGGCATGTGCCCTGACCTGGAATTGAACCCACAACTTTTTGATGCATGGGATGATGCCCAACGAACTAAGCCACACAGGCCAGGGCTATGTTTCTTTTCTCCAGCGGTTCTCAGCCTGTGGGTCGAGACCCCTTTGGGGGTCAAAGGACCCTTTCACAGGAGTCGCCGAAGACCATCAGAAAACACATATATAATTACATATTGTTTTTGTGATTAACCACTATGCTTTAATTATGTTCAATTTGTAACAATGAAATTGGGGGTCACCACAACATGAGAAACTGTATTAAAGGGTCTCGGCATTAGGAAGGTTGAGAACCACTGATTTAGATTGTTTTGCTAGGCTTACCAAGAATCTTTAAACTTTATTTCTTCCCTACAATTATTAATAGACCTTACCCTGTGGAAGAAGAGGAATGAAAGGTGAAAACTTTAAGGTTTCAGGATAGTTGAAGTGTGTGCTTTGAGACCAGTAGCTATAATAACCCTTTAATTTTTTCCATTAAAGATTAAACACATACACTTAATTCTTAGTTGTAAAAAATTTCTGGCTTTGTAAGCTGTTCGTTTTTAAAAGAGAAATGTTTTTAAACTCTCTTGTTTTAGGATGAGGATACCTACATGAAATTTGAAGATCTCCACCAATGTGCACTTTTAACAGGTTTGAATTTATCCATATATTCTCCCTTCTCTTTATGATAGGATATGAGTGGAGGAAAAATAATAAGATAAGGAAACTAGAAAAAAGTCAGCTTGGATAATATAGGGAATTATTATTCTGTTAATTGGATAAGGAAAGAAAATGTATTCACTTTTATAAGAATCTTTTGGAGTTAAAACTTTTAAGATTTGTTTTAGATAAACCTGATTTTAATGAAAATGGTCAGTAGTTTATAAAGAACTTAATACAAGAATTTGCCTTGGCATTTCTTTAAATAACCAATTCTTTAAATGCATTTACAGTATAACTGGACTTATAATGGACACAATGTTTTGGCACTGCATCTTTAAGTATGCCTATGTAGAGTATCCTTAAAGTCATTCATTAGCAAATTTACATGTGCATGTGGGCATCTTGATGTATGCTTGATTTTTTAGAATTTATACATTTAGAATTGTGCTTTCAAATACATTAAAATATCTTTTCCAAATATTCATATATCTATCACAGATATTTTGAAATTGAAGATAAGACCTTTATTATTATTATTATTTTTTTTTAATATATTTTATTGATTTTTTACGGAGAGGAAGGGAGAGGGATAGAGAGTTAGAAACATCGATGAGAGAGAAACATCGATCAGCTGCCTCCTGCACACTCCCTACTTGGGATGTGCCTGCAACCAAGGTACATGCCCTTGACTAGAATCGAACCTGGGACCCTTGAGTCCACAGGCCGACGCTCTATCCACTGAGCCAAACCGGTTAGGGCTATTATTTTTTATTATTGTCTTTTTCACTGCCATCCTAAAACAAATCTTCACTTTTGAGATAACCACTATTCTCAGTTTGGTGTTTACCCTTCTAGAATTTTTTCTTGCATTTGTACACATATCTATACCCATAGTCATAGAAAATCTGTGACTAAGTTTAAGAAGTTCAAGAACATTCAACAGTAAATAGTTTACTAAAAAAAACTGTAGTACTATTTTGTGGACTTCCTGCCGCCCTTTTTTTTCTTTTTAAAATTTTAAAACGTCTGTTGGTAAAAAGGAGGAAATTCACTGTTTTAACTAACATTTCCTTGGTTGCTAAAGAAATTGAGAATTGTTTCATATGCTTGTCTATTTATATTCCCTTGTGTTATGAATTGCTCTTTCATAGAAATCCTTGTTAACTTTGTTTACATTGCTTTCATTGTTTGGAATTATTTCAATGTTATTTATCATTATTCATTTGTGGCTCTTTTTTTTATGTATCTGTTTAAGCTAAAAGGCCCCTACTCTAAGATCATCAATATAATTATCAAAGTTTTCTTCAAGTATTTTTTTGTACTTGTTTGAATTTTGGTATTTCATTTCTCTAAAATTTACATTTATAAATCATATGAGGTATGAATCTAATTTTATTTACTAATTCATAAATAGTTGCCTTGCCATTTTTGAATCATACTGTAAATTAGACAAAGTGTGATCTACTCACATAATGGAATACTAGATGCTTAATAACTGTCTATTGAGTAAATGGATCTATATAACAATCTTGAGAAGTAGCAATGGAAAGTAGTATTTCTTATTTACAAGTAGTAAGATTTATGTTCAAAGAGGCTTCATTGGCCAACCAAAATCATGTAGAAACAAAGTGGTAGAACAGAACTCAGTTTGTCTGACTCTAGTCCAATTATCTGCTGTTATACAAAAATAACCCAGAACTAAATCTAGGTTAAAAGCCATGTTTCAGAGGTGGAAAAGCAAGAGGAGTCAGTGGGACAAATGGAACCAAGTATGTAAAAGGTAGAAAACCAGGAAGTGTACCATCATAAAAGACAAGGGACAAGATCTTAAGGAAAGGTGATTATCAACATCAAGTTGAGGCCCCAGTTACCCAATTGAAACAGAGAGCCTCCACACTGTCTACTTGGGACGACTCCATCTTATTCTGTGTGAATTATGCTCCTGGGGTTGTGTCACACAGTAGCCCTAGAATGAGAACTGAAAAAGTTTTGACTGAAAGTTCACTATAACAACCTTAGAGAACATAGTTCCAGTAGGTGGTGAGAAAATATGGTTGGTGGGTGTACTTAACCTATTAGACAAATAGTTGCCTCAGTGTGATTAAGGTTAAGAAGATTGAACAGTAAACAGTTGGCTAAAAAAGCTGCAAGAAACAAATGCAATCCCTTTCAAAATCTAAAATGTTTTTGGAGTAGCAGTGACAATTTGGTATAATTTATAGTATTTAATATCAATAACTTTTCTTTAGCTATCGTGAAGATCAGTTATTAAAAAATTTCATTAGTACTTTTATTTTTTAAATGCCTTGAATTATAAGATATTTGTAATTATATCTACAGATATTCACAAATTAATGGTGTTGAAGGGGAAAAAAAAGAACATATAAAAAAGTTATAGGGATTTGCCCTGGCTGAGTAGCTCAGTTGGTTAGAGCATCATCCTGATACACTAAGGTTCTGGGTTCAATCCCCAGTCAGGGCACAATCAAGAATCAATCGATGAACGCAACAATAAGTGGAACAACAAATTGATGTTACTTTCTCTCCCTCTCCCTCTCCTTTCCTCTTCCTCTCTTCCTCTCTCCCTCCCTTCCTTTTCTCTCTTTCTAGAATCAATTTTAAAAATTATAGCAATTGGAGTTTTGCTTCTTAACACTCATGATTGTGTTTGAATCTTTTTCCAGCTGACTCCATCACTGACCCATTTTTCCCCCGGACTACACAGATACTGTTGGAATACCAGCTAGGGAGATGGGTGCCACGTCTTCGTGAGCCACGAGATTTATATGGTGTCTCTTCTTCTGGTGAACTGAGCCCAACACGGTGGCCGTACCATTGTGAGGTTATTGATGAAAAAGTCCAGCATATTGGTAGGTTCTTAGCAGTTTTGGGGATTTAAACATATTCGTAAATTTACTTTGCCAACCTTAATTTTAATGAGAAGACTCCCAGTATTAGAATAGTCATTCCAACAGAAGTATAACATGAGCCATACAGGGGTAGGAAAAGTAGGTGGTATAGAAAATAATACAATCCTATATAATAAAAGGCTAATATGCAAATTGTCCCCCCACGTGGGAGTTTGACCGACTGGGAGCTCGACTGGTTGCTATGACCGCACTGCAGCTGCCAACCGGCCCGATCTGGGCCGGATCGGCTCCCCCAAACCCCCAGCCAGCCCCACCCCCGATTGGGCCACCCCACCCCAATTGGGGGCAGGGCCAGCTGGCCAACCACCCGCAGCCCCTCCCACTGGCCAGCTAGCCCCCCAATAGGTCTCGATTGCTGGCCAGGCCTAGGGACTTCACCTATGCACAAATTCATGCACCAGGCCTCTAGTAATTAATAATAAATTATAAACCTACTTTTGCCCACCACTTATATGTAATTTTTAATTTTCTAGTAGCCACATTTAAAAAGATTAAAAAGAAACAAGTGGAATTGATTTCAAAACTATTTTTTATTTAACCCAAATATATCCTAAATATTTTATGTTCTTTTTTTTATATGGAGTCTTTGAAAACTGGTGTGCATTTATACTTACATTTCAATTCAATCCAATTTGTTCACATCCTTGCCACACTTATTTTTTTGTTGTATTTTTAAATAGCCATTCTAGCCCTAGCCGGTTTGGCTCAATGGATACAGTGTCAACCTGTGGACCAAAGGGTCCTGGGTTTGATTCTGATCAAGGACACATACCTGGTTGCAGGCTCCTCCCTGGCCCAGGCCCTGGTCAAGCGTGTGCAGGAGGCAACCAATGGATGTGTTTCTCTCACATCTGATATTTCTGTCTTTCCCTCTCTCTTCCACTCTAAAAAAATCAATGGAAAGATATCCTCAGGTGAGGATTAAAAAAATAAAATAAAGTAAAATGTTTAATAAATAAATAAATTAATAGCCTAAACATGTGTGAGATGATATCTCACTGTGGTGCTGATTTACATTTCCCTGAGTATCAGTGACTTTGACAGTGCAATCCCTATCAAAATATCAATGGCATGTTTTCATAGGAATAGAAAAACAACTGTAAAAATTTATATGGAACCACAAAAGCCTATAAATAGCCACATCAATCTTGAGAAAGAAGAGCAAAGCTGGAGTCATCACACTTTCTGATTTCAAAATATATTACACAACCACAGTAATCAAAACAGTATGGTACTGGTATAAAGACAGACATACAGACCAATCAACAGAATAGAGAGCCCAGAAATAAATCCACGTATATACGTTCAAGACTGTCAAGGATACACAATGGGGAAAGGATAGTCTCTTCAACAAATGAGAAAATTTGATATCCACATGCAAAAGATGAAATTGGACCTTTGTCTTACACCATACAAAAAAATCAACTCAAACTGTACTAAAGACTTAAACATAAGACCTGAAACTGTAAAACTCCTACAAGAAAACATAGGGGAAAGCTTCATGACATTGTTCTTGGCAATGATAAGGATATGACATCAAAAGCTCGGGTAACAAAAGCAAAACTAAACAAGTGGGACAACAAAAAGCTTCTGCACAGCAAAGGAAAGAATACAGTGAAAAGGCAACCTGTGGATTAGGAAAATTATTTGCAATCTATATTTCTGATGAGTTAATCTCTCAAATATATAAGGAATTTCTACAACTCAATAACAAACTCAACCAGATTTAAAAGATGGACTAAGGACTTGAATGGATGTCTTTCCAAAGAAGACACAAATGGCCAACAGATATATTTATTGACTTTTTATGTAAACTGATAAAATTTTTGCCATTTTGTTGTTGGTTGAACTTTTTGTTTTCTTCTTGATCTCTAAATGCTCTCTATATATTCATGAAATTAGCTTAATGTTATGTATGTTGCATACTTTTTCTCTGTCATTTGCCTTTTATCTTCCTCATGCAGAAAATTTTAATTTTTATGTAATCATTTTTCTGTCTTCTGGATTTTGAAAATCTTATGTTTCTCTTAGCACATTTCAAGTTGTATTTTTTGTGATTAAAATATTTTAACATCAGGAACCATTTGGATGAAAGAAGTGAGCTCCCAATTCGATTCTATTAACTATCCTGTTATTCCAACAAAATTATTAAATAATTTTTTCTCTACTGGTTGGAAATGCCACAATTATTATATAGTCAATTCGTAGGTCTAATTTTGAATTATGTTCTACTCCACTAACCTGTCTACTCATGGTGACTCAAAACCTTTAATGCTATATTTTTTAAACTACAAATTTTGTTAGGTGGCAAACTTAGTTCCCCATCGTTCCTTTTATTCTTTTAAAAAGTTTTCCACCTTCTTGGCTTATTATAGTTGACCTTATTGTACGTATTTCTATATGAAATTTAAAATAAGCTTTCCTAGTTGTCCCCAAATTAATCCTGGTAACTTTATTGTGATCACATTACATTTATAGATTAAGCAAGAGTGACATCTTTACAATATTGCATCTTCCTAACCAAGAATAAGGTATGTTTCATGATTTACCCTAGTTTTTCTTTATCTTCCTTAGTACAATTTTAATTTTTTTTCTTGCACTTTTTCTAAGTTTTATTGTTAGGTATTTTATCTTGTTGCTTTAAATAAAATCTTTATTGCATATTATTTTCTAACTTGTTTTGTAGAGGAAAGTTTTGTGTATTAATTTTGAAACCACCCAACTCTTATTTCTAGTTTTTAAGTTATTGCATATGTGCTTTTATAAACTTATATCATCAAGTAAAAATGTAATTAAATCTCCTCGTTTCCAGTTTGTGTATATCATACTTTTTTCTTGACTGAATGCATTGACTGGTATTTTCAAAAAACATTTAAAGTTTTATATTCATCTTGTTCCTCATTTTAATGGGAATGCTCATGGTTTGAATTAAATTTAATTTTATTAAGGAAGTATCCATTTATTCTTTATTACTAAGAAAATTTACCCAGAAATAATTACTAAATTTTATTAAATGCCTTTCAATATTTACAGAAAGTGTCTTAAGTTTCTCATTATGACACATTAAAATATATGTATTTTATCCCTCACTGGAGGATGTTTTTATTAATTTTAGAGAGAGAGGAAGGGAGAGGAAAAGGGAGAGGGAGGGAGAGGGGAGAGAGAGAGAGAGAGAGAGAGAGAGAGAGAGAGAGAGAGAGAAATAGAAACATCGTTTGGCTGCCTCCCTTATGTGTCCCAACCAGAGATCGAGCCTGTAACCTAGTTATGTTGCCATGTGCCCTGACCATTTATTTGATGCATTGGACAATGCTCCAACCAACTGAGCCATCTGGCCATGGAATGAACTGCTGTTAGTCATTGTGTATTATTTTGTGTGTAGCTAAAGCCTATTTGCTAATATTTTATATAGGATTTTTTCTTTAATATTCATTAGTAAGAATTTATATTTTTCTAGCTTTTGTACTTTTTTAGGTTTTAGTATAAATATTATTCAAAATTCTTCCCTGTAGAAGAATTTCTCCTCTTCTAAAACAGTTTGAATAATACTATAATTAACTGTTTTTTGAAAGTTGGATAGAATTCACCTAAAACAGTCTGGACATATTTGTTATTGTTATTTTAGATATACAGAGAATATTTTTATTGTAAAACTTCTTTGTTAGTTCTGTTTAGATGTTCTATCTATTTCAGGGACAGTTTTGATTATTTGTATTTTCCTAGAAACATAATGCTTCTATGGAGAACTTTTCATTTGTTTTCAAAGATTTGGTCAAAGTATTCTTTTGTAATTATTATAATATCCTTTGACTTTTTGGGATTTTTCCCCTCTGTTGTCATATTTTTGTTAAGTATTTATACATTCTTATTTTCCTCTCCCCTGAATATGTTGGTGGGATATAATTATCTTGTTAGTTTTTTCAAAGAATCAATGTTTAAATATGTTAGTTCTGTTGTGCTGTTTTCTTATCCATTATTTTTTTTATATATCTGATTCATTTAGTTTTTTTTAACCTTATTCTATATTTAACTTCTCATTTCCCAATATTTTATTATGGAATAATTTAAATACAGAAAGAATTTGAAAGGATTGTACAGGAACACCCACACTCACCAACTAGATTCTTATTATTAACTAGAGGCCCATGCACAAAATTTGTGCAAGAGTAGGCCTTCCTTCCCGCAGCTGCTGGCACTGGCTTCCCTCTGGCTCCGGGTCCCAGGCTTCCCTCTGGCCACTGGCAGGCACCTGGGACCTGGGCTTCCCTTGCAGTCCTGGTTTCGTCCGGAAAGTTGTCCAGAAGGATGTCCAGTCTAGTTAGCATATTATGCTTTTATTATTATAGATTATTTGCCGTATTTCTTGATCACATATGTAGCCAACTATCTATCCCTCTCTATCCATCAGACCATCTTAATTTTTATTTATTTCAAAGTAAGTTGAAGACATCCTTATATTCCAACTTTAAATGTTTTAGCATGCATATTATTAGCTAGAATTTAATCTTGTTTTATTATTATATTTTTGACATAAATTTTACATGCAATGAAATGCATGAATCTAAGTGTATCAGTCCATGAATTTTAGCAAATGCATGTATCTGTGTAGTCCAAACCCCTACTACAATATAGAACATTACCATTACAATCACTTAAACATTTTAAATAATACTTGTATGCTTAAAACTATATAATGCTAATAAAAGAAATCAAAGAATATTTGAATAAATCAAGAAATGTACCATGTTCATGGATTGAAAAACTCAATCTAGTAAAGGTGTCAGTTCTCCCCAAATGGATAGGTTCGAGGCAATTTCTATCAAGATTTGTTTTGTAGATGTAGAAAAGATTGTTCTAAAATTTATATGGAAAGGTGAAGGAACTGAGAGTAACTAAAACAATTTAGAAAAGAAGCATAAAATGGGAGGAATCAGCCTATG